AAAAAAAAAAAAAGTAAGGTACCATAGTAAAGCTCCAAGGTATCTGCGTATATTTTCCGTGTGGTCACAAGCAGCCAATGAATGATAAGATACTTTTCAACATGCATATGAGGAAGAAAATGCAGACATTTTCAGTGTTTTCTATGGGATTATTTCTTAATTGCATTTCCAGATAGATGTTCAAGACCAGTGTAGCAGAATCCCAGAATGCTAAGACATCCCCATTTTCTACCATTTTCCTTTCCAAGACATCAAGCAAAACACTGACGTAACACCTGAAAGAAATTTCTGGAGAGACCGCTTGGACAACAAGATATTACAGCACACAACTGAAGCTAGGAAATTGTTTATTTGTGGAGGTGACATCAGTTTCTGGACTTACTAGGCTCTGTCTGAGAAAAGGCAAGTTCAATGTGTACCACAGAGACACCTGTCACTGTCTTCTCAGATTAGATGGGAGGACTTTAAGAAGGATTGAAGCTATTGCTCAATTTGGCTTAAAAAAATTGTTCAAAGTACCTTAGATTAATGAAAAGAAGAGAGCATCAGAACCTCTATCCCTAACTCAAATATCCAAAGAGATGCTTCTCTTGTCATTTTACACATCCAAAAATAAATTACTGGTTCTTAAATACTTCATTCAAAAAACGATTTCACTAGAGAAGGAAATTAACATTAAGTGAGCAATTATTTTGCCAAGCACTGTGCTAGATCTACTCACTATCACATTTAATTCCCACAACAACAATATGAGATCAATATTGTTGTCTCCACTTTGCAGTTCAGAAAAGTGAGGTTTAGAGGAAGTAAATAATATGCCCCAAATCATGAAACTGGTAGGTATGGAGCTGAGGTTCAAATTCAGGCCAATCTAATCCCACTGCCGATGCTCCAGCCATTGTACTCCCCCCTAGGGAGTTTGTTACAATTTGTTCATTACCATAATCTCTACCTGATGATAAAAGCATATTCTTCACTGCAGTGCAATTAAAACCAGATTATAGCTCAGCTTTGGATCATCTATAGGTCAGAGGATGATCTCCAAAACAGAGCAACGTGGTTAAATTTCAAGACAAATGTGGTGCCAACTCAGACCACCCTTCAGAACAAAGAGGGAGGTTGGGCATGATCTTGTTTTCAAATAGAAGGAAACTGAAGCCTAAAGAAAATTATTCCTTGAATCTCAGTGTTATCTTTATTTGGGGGGGGTGGTGAGGATGGAGGTATTCTGGTAAAGAAAAATAGTGATTTTTTTTCCATCATTCTTAGAAGTGGCCATAGAATTGCACCTCCCTTCTCTGGACAGTGTGTGCTAAACCAGCTCGACCCAACTACTGCCTCTAATAGGCAGAGAGAATTTAGAAACCAAGTTCCAGGAAAGGAATCTGCATAAAATAGAATCAACCTACCCATTGCCCCCACGCTGAGGCCTAAGGCCCACAAACGAACATTATAAAGAGATGCTCCTTTTAACACCTACCTTACCCCAAAGTCTCTTGCCCAACTTTTGCATTAATAGAGATATCAAGAGAAATGTTTGTCACGGCTATTCTTACACAGGGCTTTTTTTGGCTTCTGTGAAAATAGAAACACCACGAATTACATGCTCCAACATGTCCACATTCTTGGCAAAACAACAGAAAAATCTAGGGGGTCAAATTGGTGAGAGAATATCTACCAGATAGCTACTTTATAGCTCCATTTTATAACAACACAAGAATGTGTAATGGAGATCAGAAAGTCAGAACTGACTTTACAAGGTTGTCCTATAGCCACGTTATGGCAACCTCGCAAACCAGAAACAAACAAACAAGCAAAAAACCCTCTACTTGTCAAAGTAATTTAAGGAGTCCATAGGTTTCCCAAAAGCTATAAGGGAAAGAAAGCTACCAAGATGCAGAATCCGAGATCGAGGTGGAAATAGCAAATTGGTTCAGACCAAAATTTGACCTCAGGTTTCTCATCTCTAAAGTGGAGATATTATAGTTAGCTTACACAATCACGGCGAGGCTCACATGAGATTATTTGCGTGGAAGCGTCACTTGCCCAGCAATACGCAATGTGCACAGTGGGATTTAAATCTGAGGCTTATGCAAAGAGTAGGAATGGCAATAATCACCTGGCATCCTTTATCTTTCATTTGGCAAGTTTTTAAGGCTCCTGTGGAGATAATCAAGAGTCAGTTTATCCTCAAGCTAATAGTGACAACCACAAGGCATTTCGCGTAGCTTTGTCACCTAACTTTTATTCTTCTGCAGAGGATCATGATGGTCGGTACAATTCCAAGAGCCATTACTATGTGTGGAGAGCACATGACACTGACTCTGAAGAGGGCCTGCTCCACAGAACGGATTGCTCCTTTCCTACATAAAACATTTTCATCACTTTCAATACAGAGACTTCCTGCGGCAGAATGGCTTAAATTTATAGGCTTATGCTAAGCATGGAAAGAAGAGTCTGCTTTAAGACGTTGTTTTCTGTGTTAGCTTTCCCCTCTCAATCCCCACCATTCGTTTTTGAGCCAATCATGCCCTGGAGTATAGAATAAAGGTAGCAGGCTACCGCCCCAGACCGAGGCGACCCTAACCAAATGGCTTGACAATTGGTAAACGTTTATAACAAACTTGGTCATATCCTTCACGCAACAAACAAGCACTTACTTAAATGATTTAAGGTGTGAAGCTGGGAATGTTCCCTCCAGTCATGAAGACAGTAAAGCAATACCATATTTTAAGGGTAGGGGATGGGGGATCAAAACCCATGAGCCAGAAAGCAGCCTCTCAACTGCTTATCTTGTTAAGGATCAGTGAAGATGAAATAGTCTCATTGGATTAAAATAATTAAATAGACCTAATTTCTCGGGGTACCGGGGTGGCTCAGTCGTTAAGCGTCTGCCTTTGGCTCAGGTCATGATCCCAGGGTCCTGGGATTGAGCCCCGCATCAGGCAATCTGCTCAGCGGGAAGCCTGCTTCTCCCTCTGCCACTCCCCCTGCTTGTATTCCCTCTTTTGCTGTGTCTGTCTCTGTCAAATAAATAAATAAAATCTTTAAAAATAAATAAATAAATAAATAGACCTAATTTCTAATATATATGTCAAATGGAATTAAAACCATAAAATCCAAATGGATCTTGAGATGCTCTAACAGAAAAATTGTCTGGAGAATTGCCAGGGGCGCTATGAATCCTGTAAAGAACAATCCATGAACCAGGGAAGACCATTAATGTTCCCAAAGGAAAAAAAAAATTGTCAATACAAAAAAAGTAGAATTCACAACCCATTGTTTGATGGAGGAACCAGAATATTTTACCAGTAAAATAAAGGAGGAAAAAAAAAAAACTGGGACTGGGGGGGGGGGAATTTAGTTTTTACCTTATAATCCCAACTATACCACCAGCAGCCCATGCACAGCCCTTTTGTGAGGACAGAATCGAAGTGGGGAAAGTAGTGTGTGTGGTGGAGCATGCCAGACAGAAAAACACAGTAAGAGCTGAGTCTTTCTCCACGGTGAGAAACAGCGATATTCAGGATATGGTTAGCTATCAGGAGCTAGGGGAACTGGGTTGAAGACCCTGCATGGGGTGCAGGAGAAGGAGGAGATAAGACAGCTGATAGCACAGAGGAAATTTTAGGGGCGAACAGAGCTGTCCTTTGACATCTGGGTGGTGATCAGCATAACCCTCCCACCTGCGGGCTACTCTTCAGTAATCTCTGCATAAATGACACTGATCTGTTGAGTGGGCTTTCTGGTGGAGGACTGTGACAATGCCCTGGACCATGGTAAGAGGTAGGAAGGAAGACTCCTCCAAGAAGCCTAGTCACACCTGAGTCATGTTGGGTTGATTTTTTTTTTTTTTTTTTTAGAGACCACTCTAGTACTGGAACACAGGCTCTTCCAATCTGACCTGGCTACTTCCAGGTTTTTAACTCAGTGCACTGGGTACTGAGATCAGAACTGGAACCCACCATAAAGGACATTGTTTTGGATTGCACAAGGGCTCATTCTTGGTTCTTCCCACCTCTGTCAACGGCTGTTCAGGACTGGGGGTCCCACATGTGAATGACTTCAGGATACCAGTCACACCCACAAATGGGAAGAACTGCTGGGTGGAAGACAATGGGGACATAAGGCCTGATGGGAAGTAGAGGTTGCAGACCCCTCCCAAAGGTTTTCAAAATCAATACTTAGAGGGGAAAAAAAAGAGTAGTGACTAAGTAAATGTCTGTGTGCAGGATTCAAGACCCCTATTAGATTTGTCTAAGTGTGACTGCAAAGTGAGATATTCAGGAGCACGTCTGGCCCACAGCCAGTGTCCAGGTCTTCGGCCAGAACATCTTCCTAAAGCCATCTTTGCCTGGAATCCCCATATATCATCTAAAGAAAATTGAAATGTCATAAATTAGCTCCTTTCAAATGATTCTGGTGTACTGAAATGGGATCTCTTTGATAGGTCATCTGTAAACTACACACACAAAATAGTTTTCTCGCAGATCAAACCAGACAGTATTCAAAATGTTTAACTTAAAATAATTATATTCTACTGAAAGTTGTCAGAGGACTGGGGAGGGGTTGGGGTGAGGAGAGAAAAGAAGATTACTCTGAAGTCCCCTCTCCAGCCCCACCCCCGCCCATCACAAGTCACCTCTGCACAGTTTACCACAAATCACTCATTCAACATGGGCCACAAGCGCAATGGCACAGAGACATTCTCAGGGAAGGAAGGCGGGGACCAGCCCTGTTCCCACGCTCCAGAACTCCTAATAAATAGGAGCTTGCTTATGCTGTAAATTCTGGATATTCTGGTGTTATAGCCAGATACGCAGACAGGGATATTACATGTGAGTTACATGATTTTGGAGCTCTAGAAACGGAATCCTTGATGACTTGAAAACTCCCCGCTCTGTCTCCAAGTCAGTCTTTTCTCAATGATGTCACTTGTGCATTCACTGTATCTTGTGAAGCTAAAGAGGAAAAAGGAAAGACTCTGGATATATCCTTACCTGTAGCTGCTGGTCTAATTCTGGAAAGACCAGAGGAATGGCGTCTTCAGGAGGTGTATCATCTAGAACATGAAAATAAAAGGATTCTTCACTATAGAGCTCTTTCTCTCCTGGGAGGCGTCCTGCCCTCACCATCTTTGGATTTATACAATTAAATCATCAGTATGTACTGCTTTAATTATTCTCATCACTTCAGGTGGGGACACAGAGAATACAGAAGACAATCTTGTTCATTTTTGGTACAAAACAGAAGCCTGGAGAGCATAGCTGGCCTGGCCAAAATTTTGCAAACAAATATCAGAATCCTCAACTGTTCAGTCTGGTTGCTCTACAATTAAGAAGCACAATGTTCTCACGGTAGCCAAAACCAGATTCCCTGGTGTGCAGGAAAGTGCTTTAACAAGGCGCTAATGAGGTGATCAGAACAACCTCAATGGGACAGAAGAATGTGTTAGTGAAAAATAGAAGCTCTGCTCTGAATGACTCCAATGGGGGCAAGCTTTGGTGTCCTTACCACAAATCACCACCACCAGGCAGTTACCCAGAGCCTCGTTCTGGGTTCCGGTGAGCAACAGGCAGCAACCCGGTCAGGGGGTTCTTCCCCGCACGGCAGGCAGCAGTCCCCACCTGAGGCCCCGTGCACTGCCTTGATGTGGAGGAACCTGAGCAAAGACAGCCATGGCCACTCTGTCCCCAAACGCCTTACACTGACTGACTGGCAATAGGCAGGTGTCACTGGATCAGAAGATGTTCTCAGAAGCATCCGAGGAAACATGAGAGGAGTTTGGCCTAAAATATCCAAGTCACCCCCAAATGTTTTCGAGAACATACTGTGACCCAGCCACGCAACTAGAGCACAGCCCCTTGTCAGCAGAACCTCGTATGTCCAGGTGGGCTCTGGCGCTGCTGGGCCATCCATTCCCATCCCCTCCATGTTGGCAACACCTACCCCGGGACAGATGACTATGAGAATAAGACAAAAGACAAGTTAAAGAATTGTTTAAAAACCAAATCTGTTTTACACTATAACAAAGAAAGGAAAGTTCATGGCTTTCATGTTCTCACTATCATAACCAAATCTATTTATAAAAATGTGCTGTTCTGTTTGAACAAGAGCATGTGCTATGGGCCATACCCGACGCCAAAGCAAGTCTCCTCTCCCTACTCCTCGACAGCATAGTCCAGAATAAAACGCAGCATGCAAGGAGCTCCTGGCTTCTAAGGCAGTACAATTCTTTGAAGGCACCAAAGATAATTACCAGGAAGATAATTCAAACAAGGACAGTATTTGCCTCTGCCAAACACCTCAAGGGTCACAGCAGTTAATAGCTTCTGGTATATTTTAGTCAAGAGTAGTATAATAATACTCCCATTTAAAAGTGGCTTAAGACAATGATAATGCATTGCCCAATTTGCATCCAATTTTTCCTGTGCCTATGCCAGACTATGGATGCCCACAGGTTCACTAACTCTGTTCTGCTTCACACAGCAAGTAGAAATGGGGAAAATCTCCCCAAGACCCTTGCTGCAGGCTGCAGAACTGAATCAAGAGGACACAAGGAGATCTGATCCCCAGGCCCTCTGAGGGCTCTCTTCCTACTCAGAATGACAACTTCTGCCAGATACTGTGGCTCTTCAAGTCCACCGCTTCATCTGCAAAGAGTTGGCCAAAAGACAGACATATTCACTTGTTGCTACTGACCCTTTACAGGTGGCCTTCATTATGAAACCTGTAGTTTGTAAAACTGATGTGGGTCTAAGGCACATTTAAATGTACCTCAATAAAATATCAATAAGCCAGACATCATGATTATGTCAGTTCATTGTGTCTGAGGCCAGAACAACTTGGCACAGGTAAATGGGAACATATTATACTTTGGCATCCCACCCCTAATAATCACAGATGAACAGGCACTTGTTAGAAGGAGAAACCACTTCTGTAAAGTACCAGAATAGATAGTGCCTTCCAGAATCCTAAAAGTCAGCCAGGAAGGGAGCTCAAGGCTTCCTGGGATTTAATCCACCTTACTGCCTGTGAAGTCACACTCCTTCCTGCTTAATTATAAAAAAGAAGAAGCAAGTTACTCAATGGCTTCACTGTAGTAAAGTAAGTAGCCAATACAGGTATGCCCTGGAATTAATACAGTGTATTGTAGAAATCTACATCATCACCTATAGTCAAACTGTGGCACCTATAGGTAAGCATGCTGATAATTTTGTGGACAAGGCTGAAGATTGGATCTCTTGAGTTAAAAAAAAAAAAAAAAAGTCTAACTCACTGACATAGAAACATGTAACGAGGGGGCACCTGGGTGGCTCAGTCGTTAAGCATCTGCCTTTGGCTCAGGTCATGATCCCAGGGTCCTGGGATCGAGCCCCACATTGGGCTCCCTGCTCGGCGGGAAGCCTGCTTCTCCCTCTCCCGCTCCCCCTGCTTGTGTTCCCTCTCTCACTGTCTCTCTCTCTCTCTCTGCATCAATTAAATAAATAAATAAATAAAATATTTTTTAAAAAAAAGAAACATGCAATGGATGTTATAATGACAAGCAAAATAAAGATAAGACTTTGGTTAAAGAATGGTTCACGTTGGATTAATCCAAGCGGGAAACGGCAGCAGAAATAAGAAAACCGAAGACAGATGTAAGGAGACAACCGAGAGTCTGAAAGCCAGGCCTGCCTTCCACTGCCTGATGCCATCTGGTTCGTCTGGCATCCCTGCCGGCCAGAAATTTCAGGGCTTGCAAAGCTGCTTACAAAGCTGCTCTGAGTTGATGTGCGGTGTGTTTTCTTTTAAACAGTGGCTGCCTTCTTTGACTGGTTTTAAAAATAGGCAAGTATTCTAAAAGCAGAATGATGAATCACAGGATTGGGCCAAAAGGAAAGAAGGAAAATGATTCAGACAGACTAGTAGCACAGCTGTTCCTCCAACATTTGGCCAAATCGTTGTAAAACATTTTGACAGTGACATTGGATCGGCGTTCCTGAGAGCCGTTAGGTTTGTTTTGACGATTCAGAAGCACAAAGTGGATTGTACAGTAGCTATACAAGAGAAGAGACTTTCTCTCTGGCAAATTTGGCTTTTTTTTTTTTAAAGGAGAGCAGTTACCAGATATGCTTATAAAATGACAAAATCAGAATGCAAGTACATTTTTATTAAAATATATTTATTTACCAAATAGTCATTGAATGCCTTTGATGTGCGAGGCAGGGACTCGGGCTCTTGCTAAATTGGCAAATTTGTCATGTTTTTTTAATGTATTATTATTAAAAAAAAAAATTCTTCGACTTCATTTTTCAAAATGCCACTGTGGGCTTTAGTGGTCCAAGCAAAATGTATCCTAAGGAATTTTTAAAGAACGGAATATAAAGGAAAGAATTTAAAGGGTTGTTTTTGGGGGGGTTTTTTGTTGTTGTTTTTTTGATAAGCAGATGTTCGCTGCCTGTTTTGCAAAACACAACGTGACTAAGTCAATGGTACTTAAGATAGAACTTTCTTATTGGTATCCCAACCACTATGACATGCCATAGTACATAGTCTCAGCAACCCTGGAACAGCTGTTGAGTTGCTTTTGTGGTTATTCTGTTTCAGATTTCCTTAAATTGTCTTCTCTCTGTTTCTCTGTGAATCAGGTAAGTGGGACCCACTGGGTCTGTAATCCAAATCCTCACTGTTATTTAGCAATGAGAGCTATGTGGTCAGAGTTTTCAGAGAATGCTGCAGCTGGACGGGACTAAGCCATCATCTGGTCCAGGACTCCGTGCAGAGCAAAGGACAAGGGCCCCAACAAAGGAAATGAGTTTTGTAGGACTAAGGGGTGTTTCCCAGCCCCGAGCTCTTCCCTAACCTACTCTGCCCTTCTTCGCTTTCTGGTCCATGAGCTCCCCGACTTTTGTATTTCATGAGACAGTGAAATTTTCCTCAAAACATTGGGAATCATGCCTTAGAGTGTCCAACTTTTTATTCAGCTGGTGAAGATGACTCAGAACACCTACCACGTATCATTAGTATCTCTTTATGACAGAGAGAACATTTTAGCCCCCAAATCTTAAGACAAACATAATCGTAGAAAAGTGTCCATTATAATGGATAAATTTAGCTTTAGAGACAAAAGCAAACACACACCAAGAAAACCTCACTGCCGTGCCCTTATTTCTTTTGTTGTACTTCGGAGAAGTGACAACTTCATCAAAGCCAGACCAGGCCTGCAAAGCAGCAGTTGAGAACCACTGTTCTAGGCAACATCTTGACTGGCCTTTGGGATCCATTATCTCCCCCTTCCACTGGGCTCTCCAAACCCAGGCATAACTGCAGGCAAATCCTTGGTAGGAAGAGTTTAGGTTTCCACACAGAGAAGACCTCAGGACAGAGATAAGCCACGGTTAGAGGACATTCCCAAGCCCCACCCCACTCCCCAGCCAGAAACTCAAGAGGCAGCCCTGCCCAGAATCCATTCCATTTGACTGCATTTTCTGCAGTCAGGGCTGGTCCCATTGGCATGTGTGCATGCAGACACACAGAGCCCTTCCCTCAGGTGTGGCTCCTGGTGTAATGCCCTAGCGAGAGTACTTGATGGCATGTGTGCACGCAGACACACAGAGCCCCTTCCCCCAGGTGTGGCTCCTGGTGTAATGCTCTAGCGAGAGTACTTGAAATTCTTGGGCAAGCAGCCCTGGGTGTTAGTACTGTGCGTCCACAAATTACGCAGCTATCCTGCCCGCTGGAGCCCCGAAGATAATCCTTCGGGCCACTGGGAACAGACTCACACTTAGGAGGCAGATGGGTTTGGGCAACGGCTACAGTGCCAAGGCTCATGCAAAAATGTTCCTGGAATTGTGGAAGCTCCTAACCACTCAAGATACAGTGGGTTAGTCCACATTCTGTAGGGCTCAGGTCAGCCACTTTTTTAATGTGGACAATCAACATAATCTCTTCGAGATTTGGTTTCTCCTCTCCTGTCTCAAAAACTTATTAGTAAAGGAATGCATATGTCAATTCAATCAGCCTAAAGCCAGGCGCCTAGGAAATAATCAGTAATAATAATGAATATTTAATATAACTGAG